AAAAAATCCACCAGCCTCTTTAACATTGAAGGAAAGCAAAAAGCAAGGGTTGGAGGCTTGGCCATCGGACAGCTGCAGCATTAGATTATTGAAACCCATATAAGAGAGAGAGAGAGAGAGAAAGGGAGAGGGAGAGGGAGGGAGAGGGGGAGAGCTGCAAAGTGCAGAGTCTTGTTACCTTCAAATGGACAGACAGGTTAGAATGGTGAGAGGACCAAGGAGAGAGGCGAAGAGTGGAAGGGATGGAGGGAGGGAGGGAGGGAGCAGCTGTCTGCTCAAGAAGGAAACACTGTACAGACACACACACACACACACACACATATATTAAAGCCCACTGCTTGGGGTTTGGGGCAAAGGGTGTGTGTTGAGGGGCTGTCATTCTCCATCAACCGCTGTCCTAAAGGACACCTACTGTGAGTGTGCGCGTGTGTGAGAGTGTGTCATGCCATTAGCCATGGGCGAGTACAACATGTATCTGTTGGGGGAAGTGGGGGGGGGACTCCCTCCCGAGCCAGTCTTTGGCGTCAAGGGCTTTACAAGGACGGGTTCAAAGGTCGCGGCGTGTGGTGTGTTCCTGGCCACCAGCCGTCCTTTAGTGTCTGTGCGACAGCTTCGTGTTGGACGATGCCACGCGTTCTCTTACAACCCGGGGCCCGCCTGTTACCAGCAGAACCATGGAGGCCAAAGAAGTATCTCAAGAAATGAGAACAATGTGGCGTGTCCGCTGAAGGAAACAAATAAAGGAAACAAGCAATTTAACCAGAGCATTTAGCAAAATGGCTGTTAAAATATTTACAAAGACTGCCTTTCCCTCCTGATCCAGCCAGCGAAAAATACAAATTATTAATTGTGCGAGGTGACACACTCCCCTCGTGGAAGCATTAAACAAGCCAAAGGTAACAAATGACGGCAACATGTGAAAATAATCTGTTTTCAGGGAGCAGAGGTGTAGAAAGAAAGCAGCAGAGGCGGAGGCTTTTTCCTCTCCCTCACTAAAGGTTAAGGAGCCATAATTGTACCCTCATTACCTCCAGTTAATGCAGTTTGACTAAACACTGTACAACAGACAAGACCGAAAAAAAGGACTTCACAGTGCCGCCGCATCGCACAATGGCATTGACATACAAAGACAAGCCGCCGGTAATAACTCCTAATTGTCCTATTAAAGTCCCTTTGACCTCACAAAGCAATTACCAATATGTTTCAATCTTAACCGGAGCCAGAGTCATGCTGAATCAATCAGCGGTTAAAATTAGCCTCGCGCCATTGGACGCAAAGATTCTTCACCTGAATCTGACCCCCAGATGATCCCAAGATGGATGCGGTGTGTAGGTTGAGGTGGCCATAGCTGCAACAGAATTGGCCGTACATGGATTATTCTGCACGTTACAGAGGGTCTCTTTTATCCCCTCATGTCCATCTTCTCAGAGGAAACTGCCAAATTCCGCATAAAAATCGCCTGTGTGAGTTGCACCCAACGACCCGGCCCCACCCTTCCCTCCACCCTCCTTAACCCCTCGTTTCCCAAGCAGCCCGTCAGACTCCAACGCCATTAAAACAACCGATACGTCACAATGACTGAGATTATGGGACACTTATTTACATTTATGTTGGGGATGCGGGCGCATCATAAAATGCTGAGTGAAGAGTTAAACTGGTTAGTGGATGATGAAGGGTCATAATGTCCTCCTTCATCCAACCCACAAGTTCCCTAAATGGCACTTAATGCTTGTCAGCAGGGAGGCAAAGACCAGTTCCAGCATACCGTCTTATCTTCTTTATATTGTTATGATCTTATGGATCCCGATGATGTAAGCTAATGGGGATTTCAAGACGCAGCGATGAGGATTCACTTTGTTGATGGGAAGAGAGTCGCACACAGAATATACAGCGTTGTACCTACTGTATCGGGCGCTCTCCCGATGAATGTTTCATTTGTTTGGCAAGCTATTAGCTCCCCGTTGGCCTGGAAATTGCAGATCTGGAAGAAAATCAAAGCCGCGTGACCCCGGTGCCTGCTTTCTCTTGCTTTGTATATGTGTGCGTGAGAGAGACAGAGAGAGAGAGGGGTTACGATACTACGGTCCTGTGTTTGTGTGCCAAGTTGAGAAGCCCAGGTGGCGGCTGTC